GGAGAGAGAGAGAGAGAGAGAGAGATTGACAGACAGAGAGACAGAGACAGACAGACAGACAGATAGACCGACAATAACATTAAGGAGTTGGGGGGACGAGGTAGTGGTCATCTAGTCTCACCTGCAGCAAACTGTTAAAGCCGTAGTATCTGACCTCTGAGGTCAGCCTGGGCTGGGACCTCTCGAAGTCTAGGATAGAGCTCTGGTTGGTGACCTGGTGAGGTAAACAAGGTGTGGTATGGTATTGCATACTACAGTGGAACCCGTATTCAACAAACTCGGATTCAACGAAAACTCGGATTCAACGAAAAGAGATGGATTCCCCTTTTTTGATTAATTAAAATCGATTAAAAAAAAACTCGCTGTCAACGAACACATAAATGAGCAAGCTCTGATTCAACGAAGTCGCTTGCAGGGTGAACAGCCCTCATTTTTCTCTTGAAATGAACTTTATCTATTACAGAAAACGATCAATGGCATCTGCATCGTGAACTACTATTCGCTTAGCATATTCTTTATATCTTATGTGACCAATCAGCGGCCTTCTTTCATACCAACACACGTTGTTGGCACGTACACGTGTCATAGCGGAACTGCATGGCAGAAAAGTGGCCTCTATAAATACATTATTGATTGCTTGATGATGATGATGACGATGATGATGATGATGATGATGATGATGATGATGATGATGATGATGATAATGATGGTCAAGTCAAAGTGGCCTGAGCACATCGACTCACCGATGATGATGTCAGAGAGTCAGGGGCGTTGATGTTGATGATATTGTTGATGAAGTCGTAGTCGCTGTCGGCTCTCCATGTATCGTAGTAGAAGAGGTCAACGATGAGCTCACCTGGTGGTGGGGGAGTTAGAAAATGGGCGGTTTGAGGGTGCCTATGAAACACATTACCAGAACAATTAATTTCTATCGGAACACAACTTTTAATTCATGGTCTTGATTTTCCCTCTCCTGTTATTTTTGTTTCTCTTTTTCTTTTTCTTCTTTAATTTTTTAACCAACTTTTCATTTATGTTCTTTTTATATTATACATGTATAGAGAATGAATAAGCATAAATGGAAGTGTAAAGAGCAGCACAACATAAACAAACAGAAAAATAAACCGATAAATAAGGGAAAAAAAAACAACCGACAAAAGAATTCATAAAGGATTTTAGATAACCAGATTAAGTAACCCAAAAGAGGAGCAGGATAGCTGTGTGAGTAAATAGATATAGCATAACTCAATAGACAAGAGAGTAAATAAACGAATAAAAGTTCGTAAACAAAGGCTAACCCAGATTTCGGGGGCTTCCAGAAAGCCTGACCTACACCAAAAGTGAGCATTACCTTACCCATAGGAGAAGTTTGGTTTCATTGGGTGTGTAATATATTTGTTTTTTTTTTTTTATAGAGAAAACTCTCCTTGTCGTTTAATGAAACTGAACAAGGGTCCAAAAACTTAACTTTCGATTTTCTTAAAAAAGCATTTTTCGGGGTAGCCCCCTCGTGCTTAAAAGCGACCATTTGAATTAATTTTAAAAATGACCAGTGGAACGGACCCTTGGTGTCGGGCAGAGCCTGGCTCGTCACCCCGCTCAGATACACGTAACCGCCCCACTTCTCTGGCAGGATGGGAACTGCCCCGACCACTGCCTGCAGCACCTCCTGGCCCACGAAGCTGCCAGCCTCCCAGAGTTTGTAGGTGAAGCGAGCTCGCACGATCTGAAAGGGAAAAAGTAACGAGGAGAAGAGTTTAGATCTAGTTTTAATATGCATTTTACAGCACTTACAACACAATGACGTCTTACAATTAGTGTCGAAAAGTTGGGTTTTTTTGGTAAAGGTTTTACGGCGCTCGCAACTGCATAAGGTCATATGAGCGCCAGAAGATTAGAGGTGTTAAAAGAGAGTAACAAACATGAAAAAGAAGAAAGGGAGATACGTACGATAGATGTTTGGTAGGAAAGGAGGAGCAAACCACACCAGAGCACCCGCCAACCACTCACAAAAGAGTGGGTGAATAATATAAGATTGGATGAAGTAAAGACAAAATATGATATGATAGTGAGTCTAATTAAAAAGGTACGGTAGTTAAAAATAAAACTATACACTCAAACGAAAAACACACACAGACACACACACACACACAAACACACACACACACACACACACACACACACACACACACACACACACACACAAACACACACACACATGTACACAATCACAAACACGTGCACACACAACGTTCATCTCACACTGACAGGTGCCTGGTGCATCTTGAAGGTGTAAGAGGTGACCACGCCCCACGGAATGACCCCGCCCCCAGCAATGGCTGCCAGGAAGGCGCGGTCGAACGTCCGTCTGACCAGTCCGTCAGGACACACACACACACACACACGCACACAAACACACACAAACACACATACACACAAACACACAAACCTGAAACACACACACACACGCACACACACACACACACACACACACACACACACACAAACACACAAACCTGAAACACACACTCAGACATAACATAATACAATACTCACAGACACAAACAC